CACAATTTACCTTCACAGTAGTCATGATTAGTCAACTCTTTCCTGAGTTGCTTGCGAGGCTGATCTGCACTGACAGATGCTGGTCTCTTATCCCTCCCTGGTGTAGTTGCCCTAGTTTCTGATAAACATACATGCACCAAAATAAATTAACAACGATTACCAACAGTATGCAGTGGCAAGTAGATCATATTTGATTGGCTTTGTAGTAGTGAAGGAGCCACATTAGAATATACTGAATTTCTTAATATGTAAAATAAGTTCTCATAGACTTAATAAATTCAAAATTTGATATTGGTAAAACCAGGTAAGATCCTTATGCCATAACTTTTCAAATCATATTCTGTAATAAGTTCCTTTCTCTTACTTGAAATAACTCTTTGTTTGAAGAAAAAAGTTGTTACCAATGGCAAATGCAACTACTGTAATCTACATTTCATTAAAAAAAAATTAAAAAAAAAAAACAAACAAAAACAGGACCAGAGAAGAAAGAAAAAGTTCTCTAGAGTAAATATCACAAGACCTGAAATGGGTCAGCAAAACAAACGGCACATGTAAAAGCTACAGAAGTCTGTTCACATCACAGATAAATCAAAACAGTCAGTTCTGCAAGCTTTTATGAAATGGTAATTCATGTATACATGTACAGCCTGTAGCTGAGTAGGAGTTAAACACACTTGTAGAATGCACTCAGTTATTATATTTAAAATATCTTGTTGGCAAAATTCACAGACAGACCAATTTTTAAATGTGTTATGTTCTTAGCTTTACCTTGTAAGGGCTGAAGGCTGAAATAGTGTACTTCATGGACATGTCCCAGTACAAGATGCTTACTTTGGTCAAATGGACAATCTGGCTTGATAATTACCTCACTATAGCCTGGAAGACTACTAATCACATGAATGGCTATTTGATAACAATTTGCTGCAGCCCAGAGAATCATATGATCACCCCAAGTGCCATCTTGTTCCATGCCTGTTAAGTAACCACCCCACGTTGTGTGTCTATCAACAAAGTGAAACAGATCTGTTCCATCCACCTTTAAGAGAAAGTCCAACAAGATAACATGTAATATTAATAGTAATAGAGTGACTAGTAATGACTCAGTATGGTAATATTTTCATATAGTAAGTATTAAAGCATTACCTTCAAAAGCATTCACAGATGAATACAAGACTCTTTAGTAGCTAGGCTCAATAGTCCTTAATAGTACTCCCTGTATACATCAGATTGAGTAATTTTTACAACTAATGTCATGATATCTAATCTTTAAAATTCTAATAGCAAAAAAGGATTAATTTAAATGAATGATTATAAACAAGTTCATCGGCATTATACTTGCCACAGTTGTTCTAAAATAACATAGCAACTAGTTAAAACAAGAAAGAAAGACATTGTAATTATACAAAGACAAGTTGTCCTTTTAATTGTATCAACTTCAACTTTATGTATCACACATGTACACTGATTTTTTTTCATGATCAAAGCCTTGAAAATCTTCTAATATTAATTGCTCACATTTAACTTGAAGTATCTGTCCTAGACATTACATGTACTTTACCAAATATACTCACCAGTTTTGGGTGCTCTCTTAGATACTGAACTAAGGACCGCCTCAATTCAAAATGATGGATCTTTACTCCTTTGACAGTCTCCAGTTGCTCTGACAAGGCATAGAACATACAATTCCCTGACCCTTGATTGTCAGAAATTTTATAGCCCTTTTCTGAAGCAATCTTCTTTAAGTCTGAGAGTGGGTCTGTGTTGCTGCTGATCTTATATCTACTGGCATTCTGTTGCCACTGTTGAAGGTCACGAATGACTTGTTCATTCCCACCTAAAAGAAAAATAACTTAATGATCATTACTTTATTCTTATACATGTAAATGACAGGTTGCTGACAAAATCATGGCATATGGCATAAGAGTAAAACAGAAAGAACTACACAGGTTGAGAATTGAGTATTTGGGAACAGAGGGAACAACAGTTTTCAAAGCTTAAGATGTTTTTCAAGAACTTGTTGCAAAATGATTGTGTGACAACAAAGGTATACTGAGTAA